AAAAAAAAAAAAAAAAAACAAATTTAGGTGTAATTTTGGGGGGCCGGGAACCAATTAATTGGTTTTCCATTATTTCTTATGGGAGAAATTCGATCAGAACTCGAACTTTTTAGGATTTGATCCGGAGTCCGGAACGGATTAAGTTCGAGAACCGAGGTACCACTCTATATATAATGCACTAGAGCAAATTCACATTTTGAAAATGTTATCATGGAAACATACTGTATCTGTATTAGCTTTCCTGTTAAATGAGTAGCAATGGCTGTCCTAATGCTAGGAAGTAATTTTATAGTAATACTTGGTTGCAGTCAGCCTTCTGTTTGACGCGTCCTGTGATGTTTTGTCTGATGTAGTGCTGGAGCAGCAGTCCTGGAGGCTCTCTGGAGCAAGCTTCCTCCACCCTGACAGTCTACTTCTGTCCATAAACAGGCATGTTCTAGGCTCCCATGGCTGCCAGGAGGTTTACGGAGGGATGCGTGATGCGGATGTGTACAGCCCTCGCTTCAGGGAGCACAGGGAGTCGCCCTGTAGGAGGGAGCACCCAGGATACCTGCCTTTCCACGCTACTCGGAGGCCGGCACACATGGATAGGCAGCGAGCCCCCGCTGAGCATGCTCGCTGGGGGCCGCGGTCACACAGCCCCGCCCACAGATACCCTGTCTCACCGGGATACCAACGTGAGCACAGAAGGCAGTCCCACCCAGAGCTGTGGTCAGGTCGCCGCTCCCCCCAGCGCCCCCCTGTTCCTGCCCGCGTACCCTATCGGGGACATGGCCCTGCATTGTCACCTCCCCATTTTTACGACGAGGGCAGCCATGGGCGATTTTGGACACCGTCCCCACCACCGCACAGGCAGCACGGTGTCGAGCAGGAGCGGGGCTGGGCTGCCGTCCTGAGGCCAGGGAGGGAACGCGGACCCAGAGGGGGGGGCGTGCATGGAGAGCACTGGAATGGAGAGGGGGGTTTCGGTCACCCCCGCTCTGGGGAGCGAAGATTGTCCCCTTGGCGGAAATCCCAGGAGTTTCATGGAAGAAGCTCATTTCCTGAGAGGTACAGGAGCCATGTGCTGGTGCAGGCTGGGTAAAACGATTAATTACAAAATAGAGAAACAGAACAGTGGAGTTCAGATGTAGGCCTCAGAAATGGGTGCAGAGTATTCACTGCCGCGCCGTTGTATTATCAGTGAGGCGCACACGGCAAGCTTCACACGGGGATAGCAGCAAGCAGGTTTGGGTGATATGGCGGGGATAGCGGAGTAACTTAACCTGAGGGCACGTCCACTGAGCACTTGAGAGCTGCTGTGTAACGAGGTGTTTGTGTTCTCTGATGGATATGCAGGTGGTCTGCTGAGCGAGACGCTATGACACGTGGCAGGAACGAAATGGCGAGGGATGGGGGCAGGCGGAGCACTGAGTGGGGACACAAGCCCAGCCCCCGTCGTCCCCCGGCATCCCCGAAATGGAGGCCAGCCCCTTCCTCTACAACCACTTCTGTGGCCGCCTCCTCTCCCCCCTCCTCGTCCTTACCCAGATCCCGTCATGCCCCCCAAGACAGGATCTCCAGACCCTCATTGAAGAGAAGAAACCCGGATGAAGGATCGGAGTTCGAGCACATGGCCAAGCGAGCGTGCAGGGAGGTGTCACAGCGACCCGTGTCCTCCCGTGGATTCGGTGGTCGGCCCCTCTCTCTGAAGGACAAGAGCCGGCTGGTGAAAGGAAGGATGCTCAGGGCAACCTCAGAGCTGAGCACGGCACCATGCCATACGAAAGAGGAGGACAAGGCGCCAAAGCAGAGAAACCCCCCTGAGAAGGACAGGGCTAAGAAGAAGCCGCTGCCTGACAGGAAGGAAGCATCTCAGGAGGTGGCTAAGGTCTGCACGCTGAAGAAACAAACCCTGAAGAAGGTCCCCCGCAAATCACCAGTCCCAGAAGGTTCTGATGGGCGGCCGAGGAGCACTGAGACGCTCACCATCAAGGTGGACGCGCGCCACACCCTGAGCACCTACAGGTACGGTATCTCCGTTAGAACCAGCGGGCAGGCCGCCAGCCCATGCTTCACAGATAAGTTGAAGCTTTTTCATCTGTTCTTTATCACGTATCCCAAAACGAAGAGGGTACCCGCCCGGCAAAATGCTCTATTGAAATGTCAGCCCCCCCATAAATCTGCAAGAGTCTGCCTGTCCTGCATTCTGACGGCCTTTAAGCGTTTTGCCACGTTCCTGCTGAGGTCATGTTCTCTGGGGAGTTACTTGAATATTGTCAGCGTTATTGAGAATCCCATGAAGCCTTTCCCAGCGTTTCTTAGCCCGTGCCTGTATGTTGTCCTGTCCACTACTACCTTGCACGTCACTGGAGTGGCTGAAGTACTCAGCCTTTCTCGCGTAACAGCGAGGGAAGTGCAGCATTCCCAGAAAGTGTAGTGTGGTCCCAAGGAAGCCCTAATATGGGAGCCAGAAGAACAGGCCTCTAAGGTGGATGAAGTTTAAATCAAAGCTGAGGAGACTGTGAGGAGAAGTGGGAAATCCTGGATTTTACACAAACTGAATGGTCTCCCAAACGTTGTGCTCGGTGCCCACCAGCTTGGCCCTTCATAAGAGCACCTGGCTGGTTCTGAGGATGGAGCTCTTACCGTTTGTCTCTGCAAAGCTGCACGGCTCGTGGACCCAGCTGTCTCCCCTGGACTTCAGTGGCGTCCATGTCGGAAGATTCAGCAATCAACCCTCCGTGTAATGGGCCGAAGATGGGATGCTGTGGAATGGTCCAGTTCAGAAAATTGTTGGAGTGCCGCATAGCTTTGGTTCAAGACTCAACTCTTTCCTGCTACGTTCCTGTGGGTCTGAAAGGGTCTGATGATACAGCATGATTGGGTGTCTGCTGTTGACCTCTCTCCACTTACTACACAAAGGCAAAGGGGCTTTAGAGTATCTGCACCAACATTAAAGGCACTGCACCTGAGCAGCATTGGTCCCTTAGCTACTTACCTACCTGATTTAATGGGAGATCAACTTGTTTCCAACTCACCAATACAAGGAGTTCTGCAAGATGTCTATGCCAATTGGTCTTTGAGCAGTAGCAATCGCTTGGCTTACATCAGCCACTATCAGCAAAGCGGGCCGGTGGGAGCCTGCTGGATGTTGCCTAGGCAGTGAGTGTAATTTGAAGTACGCTGCTATAACTGGAACCAGGACAGCAGCTTCTGTTCCCCTACTGTGCCCCACAGATGTAGCATAAGGAGCCTTGGACCAGAGAATGAGGACACTTCTCTGTGAGCCTGCTCACTGGAATCTTTTGGAATGTGGAAGAGATCTGTAAGAAAACCTATTGATTAAGGTGCATGGAAACACACCTGGTCAAATAATTAGAGCACAATGCTGCTTATCTTTAGGATTTCAAAGGGAGCACGGCCACTGCATAGCACTGAATCCGGATGGCTGGATGTTCCTACCTTGCCCTTCCTTCACACTGAAAGATTAATAAATGTAAAGAGGCGGAGTTCCTGTGTAGGAACTGCGATGAATCATCGCATCTTCTCAATGAATGTGGCAAAGGCGGTCTGACCGGTACGCAGCCAATCTGCCCATCTACTTGCTAATGCAGGAAGTAGAGTATAAAATGGCCGTTTGCCATCTTGAGCCTAGACAGGATGCATTATGGGATATCTTGAGTGGCAAAGAGGAGTGTTAAGATTTCATAGGCAAGCTGGCTGCTTGCGTGTGTTTCTGCGTTTTGTACACAAGGCTACATCCCACCAGCAAATGGCATCTTAAAGTCTCTTTGTAAGTACGACCTGGTTTGGTTTTAACTCTGTTTAATAGAAATTAGTTAAATATTGCGGGGTTTTTTTTCATATCGTGTAGAAATTAATAATTCATTTTTGATGTCTCTGGTGAAGTTTCGGCCCATCTTAAGTGCATCTGTCGTTTTTTTCACACCCCACCCTATTTCCCTGACAGCTACTCCCCGTCCCCATCAGACAGGCAAATTTCCCGGGACCTTGTTACTGTCTCGCAACGAGGCATGGGGACCATAACTGCTGTACGAACTAACGCCTCATGGAGGGCACAGGATTCCGACACAGGTGATTCATTCTCTCTTGTGTGCATGTTGGGTGGCTGAACAGCTGATGTGATTCTGCTTCTGAACTGCAGGGGGAGCTGTGTGCATTTATTGGTCCAGTCCATGCATATCAATCACCCCAGTCCCATTTTACCATCAGGGAACTACTCCAGCCCTCCATCCCAGCAGAGCCTGACTCTGAATGAGCGCTTCTCCAAACTGCAGAACCAGCACTCACCCCGAGACGAGAGCAGCTGCTTTTCTGGCCTCAAGATAGAGAGGTATATGTTTGTGTAATTCTTTCTGCTAGTCTCTCTCTCTCCGCTGTTCTATGTGTCTTTCTCATCCATTCATTTAACTTCATACCTTTTGAATTTTTTTATTCTAGGAAAATTGATGTGCCTTTGATGAATCACAGAGCAGCAAAACTGAAAAAAGTTACCCCTCCGGTTGGTACTCCTATTTGCTATACAAGAGCTCGTGGGTAAAATTCTTCATAATTTAGAAAAGCGTCCAACAAACCGATACCCACAGGCGGGAGAGATGTTAATATTGATCATGGTATCTGTGGCTCGTGAGGCGGTTCTTTCTGGTTGCTGACAGTCTTGTGGTTTCTTCAGAAGTCCAGTTTGCACTCTGCCAGTCCTGAGAGAAAGCAAGGAGCCCAAGGCCCGGCTCCTGTGAGGAGCCAGGGAGATGTTCCCAAGCCGCTCATGGTGAGGCACCCAGCCTGCTTCTAACACGACTTCTTTACAGCAACTGTCTTACCATCCAGGAATGGAAGTGTGCATGCGTGGCTGCTGGGCCGGCTGACGGCCCTCTGTCTGCCCCCTGTACGCGGCTGCTGGGCTGGCTGACGGCCCTCTGTCTGCCCCCTGTGCGCGGCTGCTGGGCCGGCTGACGGCCCTCTGTCTGCCCCCTGTGCACGGCTGCTGGGCCGGCTGACGGCCCCCGCCCTCTGTCTGCCCCCTGTGCGCGGCTGCTGGGCCGGCTGACGGCCCTCTGTCTGCCCCCTGTGCGCGGCTGCTGGGCCGGCTGACGGCCCTCTGTCTGCCCCCTGTGAGCGGCTGCTGGGCCGGCTGACGGCCCTCTGTCTGCCCCCTGTGAGCGGCTGNGACGGCCCTCTGTCTGCCCCCTGTGAGCGGCTGCTGGGCCGGCTGACGGCCCTCTGTCTGCCCCCTGTGAGCGGCTGCTGGGCCGGCTGACGGCCTTCTCCCTCTCTCTGCCCCCTGCTCTTTCAGGCCACCCTGGTGCCACGTCCCTCCATCTCGCATAAACCAGCCGTCAAGAAGAGCCAGAGCATCACGTCCAAATATCAACACATAGAGGCGCTCCGACAGCGTGGGCCTGCCTCTCACTCGAAGGGTCACAGCCCCTCCTCCACCCGCGGGCCTTTTCTGCATAGATGGTGAGCTTAATAGCAGGCCTGCCAGTGTTACTGGAGCTGGGACCCATGCTAAGGCTAACCTGAAGCAGCTCTTGGCCCTTTATCGCATTTCCTGCTGTGTGTTCAGATGTCAGTGACACTCTCTCTGCCCTGGTTTGTTATAGATGTCAGAGTCATCTACCCCCCCCCCCCTCCCCGAGCTCGCAGACTGACCCATAAACTGTCAGATGACCTGTGGGGTGCTTCACACAGTACGGGGCCAGAAGCAGAAGAGCAGTGTCTTCCCAGGCTGTGTGTGTGCATGCGAGCATGCATGTGTGGCAACGTGATAATTCCTGCGCGTGTGTGTGTGTGTGTGTGTGTGTGTGTGTGTGTGTGTGTGTGTGACCGTGCGCGTGCCTTGGGCAAGACTAAATGTATCGCAATGCAATACATGAACTAGTTTGTGAGACATAGAAAAGTAAAACTAACTCTTTATTTGGATTTTTTTTTTTTATTGCAAACTGTTCAAATTTGTAATAACAGAATACAGATAATGTTGTTACTCTTAATACATTTAACATTTGGCAATGTAAGTTAAAAGTATGGATGTGTTACATATCATTACTTTTGTTTGACAGTAGAGATGGCTTTGGGAGTATTACCGTTTTTACACGATTTATGGCGATTTTCTGAATATATAAAACTAGCTAGCTGTGAAACGAGGGAGTTCTGCAACGAGAGCTGGCTGTAAAAAAAAAAAAAAAACGCAAGTTAAAGTATGTGGTATAAAAGTATAAAGATCAGGCATCCAAGTTATACGTGTTGAAATGTTATTACTGAGCATAGTAATTTAACGGAAGCTCGCCAAAAATGATTGAGATCTCAAAAAATAATTTAGATTTAATGATTACTTAAAAAAATGCTTAATGTTAAATAAAATCCCAGCGCACAGACATACATTTTGTTCATTTTAGGTTCCATCCATGTACATTGATTGAAATAAATGAAGACTATTTTAGGTCGTGAACTTTACTATATTGTGGGGGGCGGATATTTGCGTGGTTCGCGAACTCCTGAGAGTTCCGGTGTTCGTTACAGCCCTACTTGTGATGCATTGTGTGTGTGTGGGGGTGTGAGTCGGTTGGTGGGGGGGCGCTTTGTAATACGTTGAATGTGCGGGAGTCACCCCTGTGATGCTACGTCACTTTGTTTTACGAGCCCCGGCTGTCCCCGCATCTCGCTCCGTGTTCCCGGGATGGACTGTCCGGCCGAGCGACACTCCCTGCCTCTCGCCAATATGACTGCGGAGTCGTCCGCGATCAGGCTTTTGTTCTGCACTGCGCACATTTATAATGGCATGTTTTTGTTTCAGTGATGTTTCATACAATAAAGTCTTCAACCAGTTCTCCCCTTGCTGTTTCTCGTTAACCGCTGCCACGGTCACTCCTGGACAGACCCCAGCTCGTCTGTCTTTAATACCATTACTCCGTCCCTTCACCCATCGCCCAACTGTCCATTTGCAGTGGGTTTCTGTAGCTGCGTATTCACTTTATAGTAGCTGCATGAAGTTTGAAGTGTTTGCCAACAGCGTGCGAAGAGGCTAGATGAATATTTAAACGAGGGGGCGTGTACGGAGACCGGGTTTACCGTTTTACATGTCTGCGTCTGCCAGTTAGCCGATCACTTGGTGGTCGACACGTCGTGGGGACAGTACACAAATGGGTGAGTATCGGGTTTCAGGGTTTTCCGTGTGCTTGCATTACTTATTAATGTATTTTCGCGCGCTGCATCGCTGTATAAAACGGGTCACTTTCGCAGATTTTCGCACCCGCTCCCAACATCTGGATGCAGCTTTGCATTTATGAGTCTGATTTATCCGAGGTGCTTTCTAGCTCCAGTGTCTTTGCTTTTCCTTTAGGGCCAAATCGACACTCATCGTTCCCAGTAGACTATTTTTGACTGGTTTTGTTGGGTCTTTTTCAGCCACAGATAATGGTTGTCATACACAATAAAGCACTACTCGCCAGCCTACTGACCAGGTGAAAGCAGTTAAAACAAACGAGCTTCTGAGTGCTTGGGTAGTTATTAGGTTTAGTCTCAAGTTTGCGCACAGGAAATGAAGTTTCCTTTTCACAGTTTTTCGTTGAGCTTACTGTGTAACACTTCGGTACAAGGAGCGTGCAGCGAAACGAGCCTGGTGTGATAACACATGCACAGTATGATAGAGATGCAGCACATATACACGTTCACTGTGTAACTAAGCAGTATGACACACATATGCATGCATAGTGTAATAGAGCAGTATGAGAGACAAATGCACAGTGCTATATAGTAGTATGACATACACATGCACAGTGTAACAGAGCATGACACACAAATGACCGGTGTCATACAGCTGTGCAGGGTTGCTAACTCACACATCTAGCATGATAGTCACCCTTTCAGACTCATGCTCATCTTACAGCAAATCTAAATTATTCCATTATAATCCTAAAATTAGCTGCATCTAAACCCTACACACTATTTACAAGGTAATAAATGTGTCACATATGCAGTGGCATGCAAATGTTTGGCACCTTTGCTTAAAATATCTGTTACTCTGAATAGCTAAGTGAGCAGAAGATGAACTGATCACCAAAAGTAAGCCTGTTGTATCCAGTTAAGAGTCTTTCAGTTCTTTCTTGGGGGATTTTCGCCCATTCGTCCTTCTAATTCTGCAAGATTCTTGGACCATCTTGCATGCACTGCTCTTTTCCACAGATTTTTGATGATGTTTAGGTCGATGGACTAAGGGCTATGGGAAAACCTTCAGCTTACGCCTCTTGCAAATTTAGTTTATGAGGTGTGTCTCGGATCATTATCTTGTTTTGGGAACCATCCTCTTTTTAACTTCGATGTTTTTACAGATGGTGTGATGTTTGCTGGCGGAATTTGCTGGCATTTATTCGAATCCATTCTTCCCTCTACCAATGACAAGGTCCCTTGCCACTGGCTGCAACACAAGCCCAAAGCATGATCGATCCACCCCCTACCCCCCCCCCACCCTAGTAGTTGGAGAGGTGTTCTTTACCTGAAATTCAGCACCCAGACATACCTTTGCATATTGTGGCCTAAAAGTTCTATTTTGACTTCATCAGTCTGAAGGACTTGTGTTCAAATGTCACTGCACAGTCCGCAAAATCGTCTTTTGCAGTCAAACAGGGTTTTTTTTTTTGCCTTTCTAGCAATACAACTAGCAGTACTTTCAGAAAGTTTACTTGGGCTTCCAAACCTCAACATGACCTCCACCATTCCTGCTAGCTGCCATTTTTTAATGACATCACGATCTGAGGAAACAGCTACCTGGAAACTCTTTGCTGTCTTCTTGTAGCCTTCTCCTGATTCACGAGCATCAATTATTTATTTTTTTATTTTATTTTTTTTAATGCTAGGCAGCTGCTTAGAGGAGGCCATGGCTGCTGATTGTTGGGACAAGGTTTGAGGAGTCATATAATATATATATATATATATATATATATATATATATATATATATATATATACAGCTTTGCAATTTGCATCAGTTGAGGTTTGGTGACGATGACTGTGAACAAGCGATAGTTCTAACGAGCTCCAGAACATACGATGAATGTTATCTTAGAGTTGATATATTTTGGGATGCACAAACTTTTGCTTCAGGCCCGTTTCATTAATTTGGTATTTTGCACCTGTGAATGATGGAAATAAAAATGTTTTGCTTTAAATAGTAAAGAATTGTGTCATTTTTAACTTTATGCCTTTTGGTGATCGGTTCCTCTTCTGCAAACTTATTCAAAGTAACAGAAAGTAAGGGTGCCAAAACTTTTGCATGCCATTGTATGTAAATGCATGTGCAGACTTTTCTCTGATTGAAAATTTCATGCAAGCATGCTGACCAAACCTGTCAACTCTGGCAATATAACACACACACGTGCACAGTATCATAGAGATGTATGGCACATGTACAAATGCAGTGTAACAGAGCAGTATGAGACAAACACACACGCATGCAAAATGTAAAAATGCAGTATGACAGACACAAATGCATAGCTTAATAGAGCAGTATGACACACACACACGCACAGTGTAATAGAGCAGTATGATATACTGTACACACACATGCACAGTGTAATAGAGCAGTATGACACACACATACGCGTAGAGTAATATAGCAGTATGACACACACTAACGCACAGTGTAATAGAGCAGTATGATACACACACACACAGTGTAATAGAGCATTATAACACACACACACGCACAGTGTAATAGAGCATTATGACACACACGCACAGTGTAATAGAGCAGTATGACACACACACGCACAGTGTAATAGAGCAGTATGATACACACACGCACAGTGTAATAGAGCAGTATGACACACACACGCACAGTGTAATAGAGCAGTATGATACACACACGCACAGTGTAATAGAGCAGTATGACACACACACGCACAGTGTAATAGAGCAGTATGATACACACACGCACAGTGTAATAGAGCAGTATGACACACACACACACAGAGTAAT